AATATTAAGAAAATAAAGTTCCTGGTAATCATTATAACTATTTATCAATCATTATTTCTTTGATTTTATTTTAATTGAAACAATAAATCATATAGTACTTATTTACACTATTAACGGACTTTACGTTTGAAAAAAGATCCATTGCATCACAAAATTCAAAATACCGTAATGGAACGTGATGTATTCAAAAAATTTAGCACTTTTCTTTTCACTACTAATATCCTGGGGTTGCAAAAAGTATGAAAGTAGTGTAATGATAAATAAAAATTAATGAATTTTACATGAAAAGTAAATGATAATAATATATATTGTTACCAATTTGGAAACTCGTACGACTTTATACACAAGTTTCAGAAATGTTGAGATTCAATCATTTTCAGAAATTTCCCGTCCGAAATCAATACGTGCGAACTTGAAAAATATATTACAAATTTAATTGGCGATTGTGGCTCCTACCTTGTAAAGTTTTAATCATGAATCAAAAATTTTTCGGAACGTATAAGAATCTTTGCCCTCTCAATCCTTTGCACTATATTCTAAACATCATATTTGGTTCTAAGTAAATGATGTTCCGCTGGTTTTGTAATATATAATTATAAAATTTTATGTAATTTTGGTTATATTTGGAGGTTTTTATTAAAATCGAGTTACGAACATAGTAAATCTTATGAACCGTAAAGTACTTGATCCTTTAAATTTTATAAGTCGTAATAATCAAAAATTAGATCATTATCTTAATTTTTGTGGTATGCACCTTTCCTAATACAGTAAGTTTTTGCTTATGACATTTTAAATTTTTTTTAAATAAAAAAACTATTAACAAAAATTATAATAAATTTTTTAATAAAATTATTTTATTGAAATTTAATATTATAAGATAATTAATTGTTTCACTACATTATTAAATCATTAATATCTAATTCATTAATAAAACTTTCATCGTTCAATCTATATATTTTAAGACAATGGAACAAGATTTATGTTTAGAAGCATTCTAGTTCGCAATTTTCACAAACTCTTTTCATTCCCTAATTTAAGGTAATTTTGTCATAGTCATAACTCAGAATTAATAATCGTATTGCCTCAGATTTTTCCTCATTTGTGAGCGATTCATCAGCGTAAATTGTTTGTTGTCTAAATTCATACTGCTTATCTACGTCTGTGTATATTTTAACGTCAGTTAATGCAAATACATTATCCAATACATCCTTAACTAATTCTCTACGAATGGTCGTCATAATGCAATGAAATAAAAATAATTATAATTAACGGAATTTAAATTCCGTGCTTATATTAATATAAAAAAACTAGCTTATTTAAACTTTCAACTTCACGACATAATTATCCAGAATTTTTATAGCTAGCACAAAAAGAGGTACCGTACCGTCGCACCAATTTTTGTCAAACAAATAAAATTAAATAGCTGTTGTGTTTGAAATTACTAAATTTAGTATCATTGATTGATTACAACAAAAAAAAATTACGTTCAAATAAAAATTTTTAATACTAATACTATTTATTTACTTTATTTAAAACAATGAAACAGGTTTTTCTACTAGATAATGCTTACCCATCAATTCTTTATAATGCAAGATGTATCTGGTCTGCAAACTCTCCTAATTTAAACCCGATTGAGATCTATAGCTATTCTTAAAGAACAAGTGAAAGGTAATTGATTAGATTAAAATAAAGAAATACTTTGTGCGGGTGATTTAATAGCATAATCGTAAGGAAATTGACATTAATCTCGATCAAACATTTTCTTTTTTTTAGCAGATAGCATTCGGATCAGGTATAAAAAAATTGTATGATAAATTATTAAATTTTTTTTAACTATTAATGGTATGAATTTTAAATGGTATTTTCATATCGATATGACGGGGATAAATTTTAATTTAGGGAATCGAATTTAAACTTTAATATGCACTGAATTCAAAGATTTTTTCTTTCATTACATTACATTATGGATAAAATATGATGAATACTCAATTATGAAGTATTTATATTATCATTATAGAAATATACAAGATTACCTCTGGGCCAATATGTTCGGCTGGCCAAATTATGCACATGCCTATTCTTCCTCTTGACATATTGCCCTATGGTAAATCTTCATTAAACTTAAATTGAGGAAGTAGACAGATAATTTCTTTTATTTTACAATAGCATTAGTATTCTTAACGGTTTAATATAATTTTAGATGTTAGATTGCCAGCGGCATTGATATTTGATTGAATAAATAATTTTAAAACCTAACCTTTATTCTTACCGTTTATTATTATAAACGTAAATAAACATTCTCTGTGAAAAAATTATAAAGAGTATAATATATTATCTAACTACAATATATAATTGCTTGTCACATTACAAAACAGAAAAAAATTATTCAGGTGATAAAAGCAGCATTATTTCTTCTAGGTATTGATTTTGATGGAAATACCCGACATCAATTACGTATCATATCAATAATTGATTTCATAATTACAATTTTGTTGTAAAGTAGATAGAATATTATTACCATGTTTAAGATTTTATAATGCAATGACAAATAATATTTGCTTTGCGTGTCTACATTAATTGTTTGCAACAAAGAAAGAATATTTACAAGGTATAAAATTTTATTCATTATTATTCAACCCAATATCCCATTCAAAATTAATAATTAATTAATCATAACTGTGCACCACTTAGGAAAATAGACAAAAGCAGTATTCAAATTAAATAAAAAATCATGACATTTTTTGCACTAATAAACTTATGAAAATTTTGACTGCAAATATTTACTGTAGATTTTGTTTTTAATTTACATCATTAAGTACAGTATCTCCGATTTGAAAACTAATGATGTCATACCCATTGAGAACTTTTTTTTAAAAATAGTACTTTATAGTGTTAAAAAAAGTATTAAGTATTTCAACTTGAATTCGAGCATAATTCAGTATGTCGAATAATATCATAATGTTAAAGTTCTTAGATAAAGTTCAACGGGTGGGCAACTGGCGTTAATCGCAAATTGTACTGCGCTTCGTGTGACATGAAAGTAATACAGATCATGTACCGCTTAATATATTTTATCTCCTTTTCATTATTCTTCATTGTTTATTTAGTTTTTATTATTTTTTTTTGTATCATTTAATATTATAGAAAGGCGTAGTTTTGTTTATTTAAGAATTTATGACCTTGATTCAACTTTGGATTAGACTTATAAATCTACCATTTACTAATTTACATAAGGTTTTGATAAACACGTGAATTATAATAAATGTTTGTATATCGTAATTTCTCTTAGGTAGAGCCTTCTAGATAATTATTTATTTGAGTTTATTTGGTTTTTTTTAGCTTGATTTTGAACAATTCCAGCCCTATCACCGGTAATTTTTGTCCATATTTTCGCATAGTAGGTTACTTTCACTAGTTTCAAAACAGTATTATTATTTGACTTTTTCAAAGAAGAATAAAGATAATTATTTCACGTGAAAAAATTTCGTCACATATTCTAAAATAAACATACTCTCTTTTTAATATACTTACAACCCTAAGCATAAATTAATCAAATACCTACTAGCAGTTAAGCTGCGGAACATTCCTTGCTGATAAAATTTTTATTTAGTTGGTTTGATTTGGATTTTCATAATCTAATATTTGTGTCGACTAATTTGGTAATTTGTTATAATCTTTAAGTGATTTAATTTTAAAATTTCTTATCAAATCTAATATATAATTTAGAATTTTTTTTTTTTTAGTTAAAAATTTCGATAATTAAACTATTGTTTAATATTATTTTATTAATAAATAATTATATATGCAGTTTGTAACCCACCACTACTTTGTCATTGCGCCTTGATTACTACGCCAAATCTAAAGAAAATTATTTTATCTGAAAGCTGAAGGCATATTTAATTAATATAAGGTAAGAAGAATTCGTTCTTCATTATTTCGATATAAGCTCATAATAAAGCAGTTACTAAATTACATCATCAGAAATTTCTCTCGATCATTATTAAGATTTTTTTATAAATAAGGATCAATTCGTGAATTCTGTAACTTTTTTTGAGAAATTCTTTGGACTGGCAGCTTATATGCTTTGAATCTTTGTCTTGCTGAAGCTGCTAATCTTTAAAAAATGATTTTAAGAATATTCAGCATTAATTATTTTTCTCAGAAGCAAAATAAACTTGTTTACTGCGATACAAAATTCGTTCCATGCAAATCATTATTCTATCTTTTTTTCATGGATGAATTGCCTTATCTTCTTATGTCCAGCGCTACACCGTTATTCTTAATAGATTAGAAGCTGTTCATCAGAAGCATCAAATTATCATTGAGATGCTTGCTGACACGTAAGCATTGACGTTGCTCTTGGAAGAGATTTATATATCCACAGGTTGTTAAATTTCATGTGAAACACTCAAAGTCTGTTAGGCATAATTTTTTTTTTTTTTTTTTAGCTAAATTCCTTGCCGTGATCTTTTTAGGGCGAGGCGGTTTCTTTATTTACGATCTTAATTTTCATAAAATAGTCCAATAATATTATTCGTTAATTTCTTGGTAATGGTATATAATGTAAATAACTTCTAATCTAAGGACCGAGGACCTCAAGGACTGGTTCCATTAACGAGTTTCGATTACGATGCCTGTCGAAACCTCTGGGTATTTCCCGGCAACCTTAGACGAAACCGTACAATCGGATGATCAATAAATTTAAAATTCCAGAAATTAATATCATTTGAAGTTAAAGTAGTTAATTTTACTACCAAATATGAAAATATTTATTATGAGAAATCAAGACTTTGACGGAAAAACATTTTGAAAAATTATTTAATTTACAAAAGTGTTTGATTTATTTAACGAAAACTATAAATATAAGATTTTTATCAATCTATTATAAGAGTTTACAGAAATACAATAGTCGCTTTGTTCTATAAGTCCTCGATATCTATTTCCTATAGTTAGTATCATATTTTAGTTTTAGCTCTCCATAGCACATATATTCAACAAATTTATCTATCCATCTCTAACTCCAGAACAAGTAAGTCGTAATTATACATAGAAAAATCGGTACTTTTGATCTTCTTGCAAAGTTGACTAAGCTTTATTAGCTCGGTTAGTACAAAACCTCGTTTAGATTGTTGAGAGTGAGAATAGGTTTTAAAAGATTTAAAAGAATAATACTCGAGAATTTCAATATAACGATCTTTATCAAAAATTTTCTTAAATGGTTTAATCTTCTGATGAAAGTCTGACGGATTCATAGCTTTAAAGTTGATATGAGAAATAAAAGGTTGTATTAAATTCCCAAATGTGGAAATATTATCGGCGGACCAGGTAGTAGCGTCAGATGGTAGTAATCCATTGGATTGAGCAACACTCCATTCAATGAGTTTGTCCCAAACTTCAATGGTTTCTAAAGAATGTGTATCCTTAATAAGTAGGTCAAGTAGAATGTCATGTTTAATGGTTGTAAAATCATCCGCTTTAAAAATCAATGAAGGATCTTGTTGAAAAGTGTTTTCGTAAAATTGTGTTAATTTTTTAAAATGATTGTGTTGAAATACAACATTTTGAACGAGAACAAAATTTTGTATCAATGATATTTTATCTTGTAGTAGATGATCTTCGACGTAATCGCATAATTCGGTTAAACATAATTCATAAGCACCGATTAAGATCGTAATATTTGTTCTAGTATCTTTAGATGCAAGGTCAATTAAACCGCAATATATGTACCTGTTTATAAAATTGAAGTCGTTAGTTCATAGAATGTTAAATAAAGTATGTTAAAGCTTCTTACTTGATGAGTATTTCATAAATTTTAACGGAAATACCAGGGCATTGAAGTTTAATAATGTTATTCTTGGTTTTGATACGATTACCGGTTAATAAGGTACGAAAATATTTTGAACGAAGTTTTAAGATGCAAGAATGTAGGTATAACATTTTGGGATTTGATTCCTCTCCGACCAATATTTCAACATCTGAAAATTCTCCAGTTTCAAGTAAATCATTATATTCCTTGGAAATTATTTTTAACAAATCGTTAGACATTTTCAAATTTTAAAAAATTTTGGTAAAGGATCGATCGAATATGCAATAATTTATTATGATGTCTTTGACCATTCATCGCTAATTTCGGAAGAAGTTGACTTAATAATTTAATATCTGAACAATTGCTTATCATATGATTATTGATGTTTTCAGAAATGAATGAACAAATTTTAAATTTAAAGGTTACACGAAATTTTGAACACGAATTTTGGTTTACTCACATTTAGTAATGATGAGCTTTTGGAATTTTCTTTTTTAAAAAAAAAGTTAAAGGAATTATATTCTTGCCAAACAACTTTGGCGAAACAAGGTATAATTCATGAATAAAATTTAGCAAATAATAGGAGGATAATATTTCATTATGAAATAAATGTTAGTAAATTTAATCGACTAGGTAAAAAGAATACGCAATAGACGACTAATACTATTTAAGTCTAATTACTTTAATTTTACACGATTTATAATTATCTTATAAACTTTGAGTAATATAGTATGTTTGTGTCGATTTATATTAAAATTCTTGCAATTGTTTTGTATTTTTGCATATTTAAAGCACGTGATGCGATTAACTTGTTTATTTGGTAATTGTTTGCTAAATTATAATTTATGAAATAGATAATAGTTTATGGAAAATTATTATTTAATCGTACTCGTTGTATTTCGTATTCCATTTATAAAATTTATTTGCAATGATATTACAAATCGGCTATGCTTTTTTAGTGCTATATATTACATGCAAAATAAAAGCCCGAATTGTGAATATGATTAAATTTTTTGGTCACGTGCCTTCTCTTCGTCCAACACAAAAAAAAATACGATGAAAGATTGATAATTTTTCATTGAGATGGAAGAACGTCATTTACCCCTCGTTCGATACTGAGAAGGTCAGTGACGTTTCAATTCTTTGCATACTTGATTCTGCAAATATCATGCTTTGAAAAAGAAAATTGAGTTTGTAAAAACGTTAAAATTTTTTATTAAGAAAAAAAATAGTTTATGATGAAATCAGTCGTGTCATTAATTAGATTATAAAAATGATCGAAACGGTGGTTCATTCATTATGACTA